TTGAGACAATTTCGCTCAGTCCAGTTTGACGCAAAAACAAACGTAACACGCCCCTCTTTCCAAACAAATAAAGCAATGCCATCAACCCTTTTATCACCCTATAAAATCTGTACCCTTTGCGTGTTAATATACATTAGCAATGCTTGCCTCCGTCTGTGAATCTAGTTAGGTAAGATTTAAATCAAAGTTTACTGCCTGTTACAAATCCAATTAAGAGATTGTCTTTGGTTACAATTAACATCTTCAGCCTGTTTTAATGTCGGCATTGTCTGATTCGCTTTACACTTACAATTGATGCAATCAATGACCCGACGGGCAGCGCGTCAGAGATATCTAGGTGACTTTAAGATTAACCAGGCTAATTCAATTGAATTACGAAGACTCGCACAAACTCGTCTACATTTTCATCTTGGAAAATCATTCTTCAAACATTGACTTGTCTTGTCAAACAAATTTGTTTGATTGGTTGTATTGCAAATTGCCTTGAACACGATTTAAAGAAGAAATTTGTCAGATCAGATTTATGGTGAATGAAGTACCTCCAGAAGAGCAACTTGTCTTTCACAAGAACGTAGCATGTTTCCAAACTGAAGCGCTGGGGTATTTCTCGCAAGTCATGGTTGTAGAAAACGATTCTTGTTTTCTGATGTCGACATATTTTATTCAGTACCTATGATATCCTGGTCTGTTTTAAAAGTTCGTATAGAGGTTATACAGAGTTCCTATATCAAATGTCTAGTCCTCAGAGAATGGTCTCAGACACGGTGGCTGTTTTCTGTTCTCAGAATGTTGCCATCTCTTTTACAAACCATGTGATCTGTACTGGTACCGCAATCGTTTGTAATTTGGTTTTTTCTGAACTGTAAATGAAGCTCTCAAAAATCAATCTTATTTGAAATCTCAACACCCCTGCAATTTGTATTTACAAACCCTATCATCCGTTCTGTTTTGAGCAATATAATATATATTCATATTTTTTTATGACATCTACTTAAAATGCCGAAATGCGAATATCCTCTCAAAATTATTTTCCAGTGCCAGACATGCATTATCTATGAATTCAGCCGTTTTACAGCCTCTTTATCTGTGAAATATTCAAACCAGTTATTGTATATTTTTATATCACCTCATAAAGTAATTCTTTAACTGCCAAAACTTTTAGTCGTTTTTCGCTCCTTAACCTTTGGCGAAACCATGACGATAAACTACAACTTTATGGCTCATGGACGCTCAAAGCTACCGAAGCTGTTCAAGACACAATGGTCTGATGTAGCCAAATCTTTATATGAAATCTCAATACTAAGTCAAGCTCTTAAAATATTCAAGATGAATGATCAAAGCTACAGAGAACAGTTCAAGACACAATGACTGACTTCTGTTATCAGACTGTAGTCAAATCTTTATGTATGATATATCAATAACCCTGTGTTTTTTAATTGCAATTCTATTATCTGTTCAGGTCAGTGCGACAGTATTTATCGGAATATTTTGTTAACCCAACTTAAAATGTCAAATAGTCAATGTTGGTTCCATTTTTATTGTCCATTCCGACATTTTACAGCCGCTTTATTGCACAGATATTCAAACCTGTTTTTATTGCTTGTGTTTCTTAATGTCCAAAATTTAAAAAAAAAACGAGTAGAAAAATGTAACTTTATGGCTACATGGATGATCAAAGCTACAGAGACCAGTTCAAGACACAATGGCTGGTTTCTGTTATCAGACTACAGAGACAAATCTTTATGTATGATATATCAATAACCCCGTGTTTTTTAATTGTAATCCTATTATCTGTTCAGGTCATTATGGCATTATTTATCGACATATCTTGTTATGACACTACTAACTGAAAATAACAAAAAGTCAATATTGCTTCAATTTTTTCATTGTCCATCGCCAGACAGGCATTTTCTATAAATTCCGACATTTCACAGCCGCTTTATTGCATAGATATTCAAACCTGTTATTGTTATTATTGCTTGTGTATTTATATCACCTCATAAAGTCAAAGCTCTTAGTTCATTTGAGAAATGGAGTATTGCGCAATATACATGCTGTAGGGATCTCTACTCCTTACATCCGTGATTCTTATCAACATCAATATTTTGATATAGTGTTCTTCTACAAATACAGATAAAATGCAGTAACTGAATCCAGTCCACACCAACAAAGTCCCAAGGCCGGCAGCTACAATCCAATGAGATTTTAAAGCACTATAGCCCTTGTATAGTTGAAATGTCAGACGATGTTTATCAAGTGATTATTAGTATCTCAATGACTCGAGATCTTAAATACTGTTATCATTTCTACAACACGACCTACTGCCGCCAGCATCAGTATCATTACTCTATACCTAAAGTCACCAGTTGATACAAGGGTAGTCTAAATACAGATTAAGACATCTAGTGTCTGATACTTCCTGAAACAACCCACATAGATAAAGGAAACGAAATATTCAAGAGCATGTTTCAGGTAAACGCTGATGGCAGTGCTATATCACTGTATCACGGTGAAGTTAGAAGTTGATACAAATGTAATTAAAATACAGATAGAGTAATAGTAATAGTGTCAACCCAGTGGCGGAGCCAGGTTTACGTCCAAGGGGGTTGTGAGAATTTTGCCCGAAAAACTTGCGTCGGGACTGCGAGGCCGCCATCTCAGCCATCTCAGCTCCAAAAATACAGTTATCTGATTGGATAATAAACCTAACTTTGAAATCTATGTTAGTAGTTTACTAAAATTGTCTAAGAGAATAAATCCCCAAGATTATTCGATTTTCGAGCTTTCTTCCACTCTTAGATTGGGTTTCGGTTAGTGAACCGTTCGAATGGCGTTCTGAATAAGAGTGCATCTCGATATCCTCTTAAGTCTATTATTATTATAAAAGTACTGGCTTATAATAATATAAGAGTCATGAATGGTAATTATCATTATGTGGAATACAACTAAAACTAGAGCCTGAAGCATTATCAACAATTTTACCAGGAAAATATCTCAAATAAATATCAAAATACACTTGACATTTTACCAAATTTCATTAATTACACTGGCTAAAAGCTCTTCAGTCTGATTGATATAACATTTCAACCATCCAACCAAACGAACAACCAATCAAAAACAGCAAAACCGGTCGATGGCACGATTGGTCAATCCATCAACCAACCGACTAAACAACCAACCCAATGAACAACCAACCAATAGACCGACCAACCGACTTCCTAACAAATCATGCAAATGAAGGCCCCGATATACATACAGAGGTCTGATATTAAAACAATCCTTTAGACAAAAATCCCCATGTCAAATATCTCATTTGCACACTGAATCTTATAGATTATTTTTGCTTCCAGTCGTTTCTATCATTTGTTGTTTCGTTTTGTTTGTTTGGTTATTTTTGTGTTTGTTTTGTTGTTGTTTCCATTAGGCCGATTTCACATAGAAGTATACTTTTCGGGTATACCTAAAATCGAACAAGGTAATTTCATAATACCTGGTCACATAAGACACTAACGAGAAAACGAAGTATACCTGCGTATAGTAGAGTATAGTGTAGTATAGTGAGAATCGTGCTTGTTCGATTTTCAAGTAGTGTATGCAGCGAATGTGCGAATGTGGCAACTGCAATTTGTAAGTACAAGCGTTTGATCGGCATAGAAAGAAAGAACCGAGTAGGTCGCACGTGCTGTATTATGTGATTCGAGCGAATACCGAGTAGTGTATACCGAATACCGAATAGTGTATACCGAATACCGAGTAGTGTATACCGAATACCGTATACTTCTATGTGCACTTAGCCTTAGGGAATCAAACACGTGCGTTGCAGTTAGTTTTTATGACTAAAGCTGTCCAACATCTACCACAAATAGATGTACAACTTAATACGAATTAGTAACAGGTATAAATAATACATTTTTGTTTTAATAATTTTAATCTCGCAGACGGTTTGATTATAATCTTATAAACCAGATAGATTAAAATAGATATTACAATAGTGTTCTCTGCTTGAAACAAATTTACATTTAACAGGTGCTCGTCTAATATTATTTTATTATATTCATTGTTTTGAGAGACTCTTTAATAAATTTCAAATACTTATACAGATATTTATCTTTTGTCTAGAAATGGACTTCACAGGTGTCACATTTTGATAAACTGTAATTAAGAATTTTAATTAATATCAATCGTAGCAACGTATCGTCCATCTACCAGATTATTACACACTGGCAGTGAACTACCATTAAAGGGACAGATGTGCCTATATAAATTGGTTGATTTTACTCTTGAAATAGTCTTCAGAAATACTATAGAAATGTACGATAATCACATAATTCCTTTAAAAATACTTCGAACTACGAATTTTACTCACTATTTTACTCACTTACGAAAGTTTGGTCTAATTTTAATTGGACTGTATCATCAATATCTTCGAAGTTTATATTTGGCTTTGTTTAATAACACGTGACAATACTGATATAGTACCAGTAAAAATGGCTACCATTAAATACCGTGCGTGGCCGTTTGAATGTTTTGGTGGATTGCCTGATAGCGACCACGTCTCAATATAGACTGTTTATCAACCACAAAAAGATGTGAAGATGCTAAATGTAGTGCAAGTCATATAGGAGTTTCAACCCACCGCCCCCATCTCACCTTAGAGTAGAGTCACTGACAATACAACATTCAATTCCATTTCATCATAAACAAAGACGAAATGATTGGAATAGCCTTGGCACGTAAATAATGTAATACAATTTAATGAAATACATCGCTTTTTGTCTGCATGTGACACGACCCGTAGAAAATAGCACCCCGATCTGAATTTTAATCAGATTGATATCGCTGTGGTAAATTAGAGATTACTTCAAGAAGATAATATTCGACAGTAACATACTGACATAGGTTCAAGTTGACATCTTAGAGGTAAACTACCTCTTTGGATAACCAAACAATTGAAATATTTAAACTTTGCCAAATGAGTCTTTGTTCATCAGTGGACTTACCTGTCCAGAATCCCCCTATAATCCAATACATCCATAAAACTAAGAAATCATCCATTAAACTAAGAAATCATCCATTAAACTAAGTAATCATCCATTAAACTAAGAAATCATCCATTAAACTAAGTAAATTTTAAAACACGCTTACAAACCTTTTTCAAAATTACTTAGTTGGATACTTAATGGATATATCGTCTTATGTAGAGATTCTATTCTTTAGTCCTGGCACCTGGTAAGTCCAACTGATGAATATATACTCTTGATGACCATGTTTGAGACTTTTATGGTCATTCTAAGAGGAAGAACTCCTGCGACTGAGGTTTATTTCGTAACGTTAAGTAGTTACATTATTTCATTTTTAAATTCCAGCAGCATATTTCTGTCCCTATAGCATATCAAAAGATGCTATTAAGTCCATTTCATTAAATAAAAGAGTATTTATAGCCCAGTCACACCGGACCGCGACCATTTGTGATCTTACGGTAATCAAAGGTGTACATGGACGCCGGAGAACGTGAAGAAAACGTCTAGAAAATGTCTCGATTCCATGGCGATCTCAACGGTGATTATTGGCGACAATAGAACCCACTGTACGATAGCTGATGCTTCCTACACTCTAATTCCACGCTTATGACGACGTAAAACTCCTTTCATTTAATTTCATTTCTGAGTTAATTTTCCATCACCGTAACAGCTCAGTAAGGACCCCTTTCCGGCGTGAGGGTCTTTTAGTAGCAGTAAGGAAATCACTTCTTTATACCAAAGGAATGTGAGCGAATATTTCTGTCAGTGTTGACGTAACAGGTATCACGTATGTAAACATTTTAATAAGTTTGGCTACACTGTAAAACCTACTGCGGGGTTGTGACGTCACCAAACCAATAATTCGACGGTAGTGTAAACACTTCCTTAGCCCAGGAATGTGGGCGATGATGAAATATTTCATATTTGTCAGTGTTGACGTAACAGGTATGAAGTATGTAAACATTTTAATAAGCTCCTCTATAAAAACGAAACCATTCTTAACCCAGGCAGACTGTATGGTGCCAAAATATTACATTAATTAGGCTACGATGGCTCTTATTTCATAATACTGTTGGTGTACTTGTACTCCAATATACCTGTTTTGTATTTTGTAAACAGGTTTTCGAAAAAAAGTTTATGTGTATCGGGGATATTGATATAATAGATTTTCACTCAGACGCCTGTGGTTCTTGCCATTCCACTAAACCTAAGCGTTTTTTGGTGTCAATATCACAAGAGCTACTAATAATTTTATTTAAAGCTTTCTTTGAGTGGAATTGCAGGAACCACAGACGTTTGACTGCACACTTAAAAGATTTTAATTGATCTTATCAAAGTCCAAAATACAAAAATGTTCAGAAAACCTCTTTAGAATCCTTTTAATGGTAGTTATCTTATTTCAGAGCACAAAATAAGTACTTATATAAGTTCTGATATTATCCATATTAGTAAGGGTTCATAATACAGTTTTCAGCCTTTTTATGTGCTTCAAGAGATTCATCGAAAGCTTTAGCACCATTCCGACTTTCCGTCGCCTGATATTTCAGAAGATTTAAACCGGCTATGACGTCACCAGCTGAAAATTCATATTGTGATGAAGACGTTTAAATCTGTTCATGTTTTTCAATAATAACAGAAATCAAAATGGTGAAAATTGAAGCGATGACAGTTTACGATTGATATGCTAGAAAATCTGTCTTGAAAATATCATTAAACTGTCGCATACAATTAATGTATATGGTAACATATACATGTATGTTCAAATCTATTAACTGTAAATGTTATTTATCACGAATTTGAATTTCCATCTGTTTTTGAGTTTAAAAGTAACGATTTTGTACTATGTAAAAGTTCAAAAATAAATCCCCATTCAGAGATGGATACAGCGTCCTTTAAATCACTGTACACTAACAACAGGTACGTGCTAAATCTCACAGTCTAAATTCTGTGCGAAGCTTTAGATGGCATTGCGAACCAGTTAATGTTTGAATCCGTTTAGATAAGTACAGATATCTTTCCTCGATTTGTCAATTTGTCATCCACCAACCTAATCTTTACAGTGGTCAAGGTATTGCATGCTTCGTCTTATACCTTGACTGCACTAGCCACCTTTCTTGTATCATGGAATACAGCTATTTAATTGGATTGTACGTTAGGGAATACAGCCAATCACAGCCATAGACAGAAAGACAAACTGTAAAGATCGTGGATTATCGTTTGGCTGTATTCGCTTACGCCCAATCCAACCATTTGCTGCAATACAAAGCAAGTTTTTCGGGAAAAAATCTCATAACTAGGTTAGAGATTCGGCAATCTCAGATATCCCCTCAGATCTCAGATATCCCCCCTCCCTTCCGCCACTGCTGCAACGTATTACAAGAAAGGTGGCTATTGCAGTCAAGGTATAAGACAAAGTTCGTAATAGCTTGAAATAGTGAAGATGCCACCACCAACAAGCCATGCTCGTTTGTTTTTAATGATCAGTGATAACAACTAAGGTACAATCCAACAAAATCTCTTCACTTCCGTATAACAAGTAGGTGATTATTGCAATGTATAAGACGCAGTTCGTAGTAGCTTGACATTGTGAAGATGTCATCAACCAATCAGTTATTACCAACCTTTTCCCACTGTCTATTTCAGTAATTATATAAATGATACTAAATACAATGCCATTATCAAGTCTGTATGATCAAAGCCACATTATGGGAATTATTACAAAATCCCAACAGAATATATCACAATAATTGAATTAAACTATTTGTTCGGCTTGGTTAACTTGTTCCAATGATCCCAGAGGATTGCTGTCCTTGTTTATAATAATACATTAACAGCATAATAAAAAGTCGGACGAACTGGCAAAAAAACAATTAAATAATTGTTAATCTACATGGATGGACAATTTGAAAGAGAAAAGCGATGTGTGGTTTGTAGGTTCGGAGTGTGATGGGAGAGGGATAATGATCGTTTTCCATTAAGATTATTTGAACAAAATCGTTCACGATCAAGAATTGTTTTTTTCCTTTATAAATATGATTTTTAGACTTTAAAAAGGCCTGTTTATGACATTCAAAAGTGGTCGTAACACCAACACAAGATCGCTATATCTTGCGGCAACATCTGCATGACAGATTCACCACAGCGGCACAGAGAGCTCGCCAGACCATTGGCCATCATCAGCAACCCATCAGTGCTGATACCGTTCGAAATCGGCTGGCCTCCCAGAACCTGCCTTGTCGGGGTTCGGTGCTCATTCATTTCACGTGTTCTCATATGAGAGTCGGCACTGCAGATTGCAGAGTACGAGTGTGGCGAAGGAGAGGTGAACGTTTTACAGAACAGTGTGTGGTTGGAAGAGACCCGCGGGGAGGACCAAGCATTATCATGTGATTAGATGTCATAGCAATAACTTGTAAGACACTAAGACAATCCTTTGTGTCAAATGTGGTTGTTTTCTGACAATTGTCTTTTGTTTTATTGAAATTTGAATAAACAATTCACTAATTTTTCATGTTTTGCGACGTGTGTGTATTATTTACCTGTAATCTACAAACTTTTTTACGGTGTATCACAAATTAATAATTATAAGAAGGCACTTTACAGAAAATAAATTTACAATACATCATCTGTACCCATTATTTGCTTCAATTCTTTAAAAACATTGGTAACAAATCTATCGATATTCTCCTATATTTTAACATACTTTTTTTTTACGGTGTATCTATAAAAAGAATATGTCTGTATTTGATCAGACTGTAAAATTCAGTGTATGCAATAATCGATAGAAGCACAAATATTTTACCCAGAGGCGTAACGAATAATTGAAAGCCCCGGTGTCTCTTTGCGGAGTTTAGAGGGCACTTGTCATGTTGCGAGGTCAAGGGAAAAGATTGTAAATGGGACGCCGGACAATACATCTAACGCATTGTTTTTACAGTTAAACGTTATGAGTGTATGATCTATTATCAGATTGTTTTGGCCATTCTGATGTCTGATATAGTCATCAATAACAGCAATAAAAGTATCAACAAGGGTCGATCATCAAATGAAATCGCCTGGAAATAACTTGCCAAATTTTACAGGGAAGAAATTACAGTGATCAGAATGTTTTGGCCATAGTCACAAATAATACAGCAATAAAACTAATGACAGTTATTAACAATGCTGTAGTGTATTACCGTTGAGGGTGTTATGATACATAATTGATATCTTTAGAACAATAAGTCGTTATAATAATTCTCTACAGACCTAGACAATTTATTATAATCAATGATTGGAGATGATTTATATCCAGTGGATGGCCAGGATGGTTTTTAGAATGCGGTCACATTCGCATGACGGTGATAATGATAATAATGATGATGATGATGATGATGATAGTGGTGATGATAATGATAATGATGATAATGATGATGATGATGATAGTGGTGATGATGATGATGGTGGTGGTGATGATGATAGTGGTGATGATGATGGTGGTGGTGATGATGATAGTGGTGATGATGATGGTGGTGATGATGATGATGATGATGATACAGGCGTAGCTATGAATTATGAAACGGCGAGTAAGGACCACATAATTCTCAAGGGGGCCCAGGAATTTAAGAGCAAACTGATCATAAATTTGAGATTTAGGGTAGGGGGTAGAGTTGGGCCAGCATCAGGTCCTGGATTCTTGAATGCAGCCCCAGAGATCCTCACCCGTTCCAACACCCGTAGAAAATGATGGATGGTGAGTATTTGATTAATAATAATGTTGATGATTGGTAATGCCGAAAATGGATGGATGGAAGGGTGGTCCCTGTAGCATTGGGTAGAAATAATAAGTCACACACGATTGTTGATAATTCTGTCGCTGTTCATTCACACGATACAAATCATCTAGACCTGAGATCTACCATGATTATTTAACCACACTGCTTTGGAATATATGTATTTACTATTCTATAACGAACTCTTTATTAAATCTTTCTAACATTTGGGGAATAAGTGGCTATTTCCTGTGAATTAAGTGAACACCTGATGCAACTCTATGATTGATACTTCACTTTCAAAATATTCCTGTGGTTAAGTACATCTACTTGCTCATAATTATATTCCATTAAACTACGATGAAAGCTCAATACACACAAGCCTTTACAATGATTTGAAAACATTTTTTTAATCTCATCAAGTTTTGTTCAATTACAGAACCGTACACTCATTTTCTATTTACCAACAAGTTTCAACGAAAGCACTGGCTTGGGTCAGATAGCGTCTAGTTAGAGTTTTAAAGACATTCTGTGATTGGGAAGACGAGAACATAACACAATTCATTGATAAAAATCACTGAATTTATTTCAAACGACGCTGGAAAACGATTTCATTAAGAAAATGACAATAATAACTGCGAGCTTTGAAGTGAATTTCTAATTACCAAGTGTTGATAAAGGAACAAATAAAATACAATGATTTTTATCTGTAAATGTTGTTATGTTCAAATATTTTTAGTAGTGGCGCGGTGCCAGAATCCCGAGACTGGGGGTACAACTTGGGGACAGACTGACTTAATGGGAGGGTCAAGTTTTGTCGAGATTGAGATTCAAAATGCAGTAACTCTGTGGAAGCGAATACGCGCAAGCGTCTGAGAAGGTATTCCTGATGAAATTTATCAAAAATAGAATTAGTTTGGTGCATGCTGACACATTTTCGGGGCACAAACGTATAAAATCACAATTTTAATTTGTTCTAAATGCATTGCTGACAATAAGGGAACAAACCGCTTTTATAGAGAAGAAAATGACCCCCTTGTTCGTTGAAGTGGTTCAGGATTTAATGTAAAGAGTAAAAAATAAAGCATTGAAATAAAAATCTTAGCAATTAATCTCTTGAATTTTCTATTATATCATGTGTTCCTGTAATTATACAATTAAACCGTATATGACGTCACTCTCTCTAAAGCTATAACAAATAATGCTCGGTTTTTGTGAAATTGTAAGATCTACAGAATTGGAATGGTGCAAACTGGTATGTCCTTGACAGTCGACACACATAAAAATATTTAGAAAAGCACTTGAAGATATTGAAGAAGAGTAAAAATAGTGTTGACAGATATAAAGTGGCTATGTCTGTTATCTCAACTCAAGGTTATGATTGTTTTGACAAGCGTAGATAAACATTCCATACAATTAACATCATATTTTTAACATCAAAGGATTCTTAAATCTCTTCCTGTGTTTTTTAACTTACAACAAACGTCTCTATTCTGTCAGTTTTATGTTGTGTCTATAAATAAAATTTTCTTACAGAATCCCATACTCTCATATTGTGGTGGTTTTCACCATCGATATGGTGTTTGATCGTTTAACTGAAAGACTATTCTGAGACTAGAATGTCAAACTTGCACACTTGTCAATGTTAAGCTCTTGAATCTAAAAATAGAATTTTCTTAGAGAGCAACAAACTATTGTGGTGGTTTCCGTCTTCGAAGGGAAGGGAAGACCACTCTGCGACTAAAATTGTAAACTTGCATACTTTTTGAGTCTGAAACTCTCGAATCTTTAAATAGTACTTTCTTAGAGAGCGCCACTAAATAAAGAATGGTGGTTTCCGCATGTATTGTGATGTATTACTTTTCTGGAAGACCACACCGCGACTAGAATGGTCAACTTGGTATAGAACAATACAGTGTTCTGTTATTTAGTGTAGGATATTAGATGCCAACGGTTCGAAATCATACCGATTGATTCCACTCAATGAAAATTACTTTAATAAATAACCATAGTCGTGATATATCGCATTTCATTTCAATACCATGTTGCCATATATGGCATGAAATGGACAAAAATAATCGCACGGCTTGATTTAACTCTCATTTGTTATAGTACTTATCGACTTCTTTGTCATCGGAAATGAATTGGAAATCAACTTGATTACGCTTCTGAGTAACAGCCCACTACATGCCTGGATAATCATTCTACCTGGTTAAGCGCCATGTCATCCGATTATCCAGTCATTTCCAGTTGATTAGCCACCGAATGTCACGGCCGATCCATCATATAATATTCAGCCGGTAATTGCTATGGATAATAACAAAGTTGTTATGATTATTACTGAAAGTGATCGGTTGACCTCGGTTAAACTCTGAATATTATAAATCAATTTAACATGTTAACACTTGTTATTGGTTTTATGATCGAGGTGTGGGCGACCGTTTATCACTTATACAATTGGTAGTGTTGTTCTGGCCTGAATCGTGGACACTTGTAGCTTCTGTTTACACCATGCTAATTTCCTGCGAATCCTGATAGAAGACAACCTCTTAAAACAAAATTTAAAAAAAAAAACATATTAAAAAAGAAATACGCTTCTTATTCGAACAGTGAAAATGGATAACGGTATGCAGTGTACAGTGACGGAAAATTGTTCATTGCCACATTTTGAGGGATGTAAATTCGTAGTGCTTGAACCACGGGCAGTATTGTCCCATCTGAAAGCCTAATCACATTGTAATGTGCAAAAATACTCTTTTTAAGAAAGTAATTTACTCTGCAAATCTTTTACAATAAAATATTGTTCATTAAACATTGGTTTCCTCAATCTTCTCTGAATCAACATCATCGAGTTTCCATTTTTGGCCAAAATAAGTAATCAGGGGACTTAACTACAATGTCATAACTGCACAACAGAATCTCTGTATAATAACTCCGCTGATGAATATATACAATGATTGGCCAAGTGCAATTAGTATACAACATTTGGAATTCCTTTCAGAGAAACAGATTTGTCGAATTATGATGTGAAAGTAAGAGAATCGTGTTAAGAAGATATCAGAAAGAAAGTGTCGGAACTCCATTAAAATATCACCGATAAAACCAGTACATAAATACTCACACTTATCCACAACAAATACATTAAGATGTTGGTGAATTAAGTGTTATTTTGATCGTGTTTTAGACGGTAATATAAGTAAGTTTACTACCGTTTAGGCGTTTAAGGGGCTTTTCATATCTCAAGATCGGAATTCCATTAAAGCACTGAAGACTCGATCAAATTACAGAAGTCAAGGAGAACAAAACAAACACTGAATCTGTACTCAAATCACGGACGTCATTTGCACTGTTATTTGGCGTATCTGTATACCTGCTACAAAATAACAAGAATTTTGATGGGGTAATCATTTATGACATTCGTATGATTCATTTTCTTTTCACAATTACATGTATAACAACTGAAGTTATCTTGATCGAGGACCCTATCTATCATATTTTATTAAATTTACAACATGTATACCAGCTGACCTTATGATAAACATTTTGGAAAATCTGATGCACTTTTTGCTCCTTTTTCAGATGATAAATCATGAACACAGCTATATAGTATAGCTAAATTATCTCTAGCTAATTTGGAAACATAAGACTGAACTCTTGTCTGACCCAATTCAAGATATATTGGTACTTTTAGAACGGATAATCCAAGAAAGATCAATGCCACGACGCTTGGCCAAGGACCAGCTGGTCAATACGTTCCTCGAGACACAAGTTATTATCCTTGTCTATATGTTTTGCAACCTTAAAATTTACCCCCAACCCCGAACGATAACGAAGATTTCTAGATTGTAGATATGATCTCGACCTGGAATTAGACAATCTAAAGACATATTATGACATTAAACCAATACAGTGACAGGCTTATAGAACAATAGAGCAATCCGCCAATCACTTGATGGTTTAATTCTGTCCATAATTTCTAGATTAATGTACATCAAGCTGGTAGAATATATGTCAAATAGCTCTTCTGTATCGTAATATTGTTCTTTATATATTGATCTTGGCGTGGAGTGGTTCTTGATATGATAAGTTTTTTAAACCAGGATCCAATTTCCACATCTTATTCACTTCTCAATGACCTAACGACCACCAAATTTTCGCTTTCGCAGTGTTTTAAATTATTTGATACGGTTACTTTTGGAAACCTGTCAGAAACTTCTTATAACTTACGATTTCCAAATCTTATTCACTTATACAAATATGACTGCCACCAAACTTTTTCATGTTTTAATAATTTGATACGGTTTCTTTTGGAATAAGAAACCTGTCAGAAACTTCTTAACTTTGATTCCCAAATCTAATTTACAGATCTGATTCCAAGACCGTATCAAATGATGCCTCAATTTTTTAGAACGACCACCAAACTTGAGAAGTGTTTTTATTTGGCGTTAAGTGATCCTTGATATGGTTAGTTCAAATGGGATCATCTTGTCAGAAGGTTCCTAATTTACGATTACCAAATCTAATTTACTTCTACAAATCGGATTCCAAGGCCAGAGCAAATGATGCCTCACTTTTTTAGAACGACCACCAAACTTGAGCCGTGTTTTTTTTTTGCGTTAAGTGGGTTTTGATATGGTTAGTTTTGTGACATGGGATCTTCTCGTCAAATCTTTGTAACCTAACAATTCTTGAACCTTATTCATCTCTACAAATCTGTGACAAAAATACGTTACTTGTGACAGAGACTTTACACTTTAACGAAATCACACTTTGAAGTCTAAAATAAGAAGGCTAATGCCGCATTCAGAGCAAAATTGTCCCCATTGCATACAGCACGGCGTTAGCCACAGTGGCGAAATTTGCCCGAATTTCTAACCTAGTTATGAGAGTCATGCCCGACTGCGACTCCGCCACTGGTTAGTCATTAAAGAAAAAGAAAAGAAAGAATAAAATTTCTCTATATTTTCTTCTGCAGTTTCAAGTAAACTTTAATTAACATTACAATTACATTATCATCTTAATGGTTCTAATTAAATCATCAACTTTGTCAGATTATCAAATTGATTGGCTGGTCAGATTTGAGCTGTCAGTCACTGCCAATTAAAACTGACCGATTCCATTCGTGTCTATTCAAGTAGCTGTATAATGTAAATCAAGATTCTGTAAATGGTTTTAATTGCACCTTGACCTAATCATTAAGCCGAAAGCCAGAAAGGTGTGTGGTTTAAGCAAAAATCATCGACTTAATTCCTGGGCTCTAGCTCATCGCATGGTATTATCGAATCAGAAAGTAATTCTTGCCAGCTATACGCTAGCAACGCGGATGGTTCAACCAAGACGTATCGACTTAGTCTATGGAATGTTGAAGATTATATGACATTGTCGAATCAGAAGGTAATTCTTGCTAGCTAAAAGCCAGCAGAGTAAGTGGTACTTAGTTCATGGACATTGTCTGTCTTCTTTGTCAAGAATGTAGAATAAATAAATAAATTCACAATCTTAAATGGCAAAGTCTACCAATTTACATTTATAAGAAAGAACCACAGGGATAAGTTAGAAAATAAGTTGGAAATCGAAAAAGAGCAGGCTAATGCTGATGTCCTGGAAAAATGTCCCATATCGCACCCTGCATGACGTTGCTCGTCTTCATTAGCCTACCCGGTGCAGAAAACTCCATTTATTTTATTCTATTCTAAGTATAACAATATAGGTTCACGAAGATCCAGCTACCAGCTGACATTGATTTCTCTCGGATTCGTACCCAGCTCGATTTTAACGTACCTGAAAATCTTACAATCAATTTTTAAGTATGATATTTCTCAGTGTAAAATGGCACACTACGACAAATTTGTAAAAGTGAAAAGGGGCCCAGATGT